TGATGATCTTCTCAAAGAGTTTCCCTAAGATTGAGGTAAGACTGACGGGTCTATAGTTGCCTGGGTCCTCCCTCCTTATCAGTTATGTTGAACACGTGGATACTGTTATACATAAGAAGAACAGACTTCCACCTTCAGCTTTTTCTATGCAAAAAAGAAGTTTATTTTCTACCTATGGGGACTTTTTACCATCTTTAATTTTCCCTGAGCCTGAGGAAGGGCACATGTGCCTGAAAGCTTGCAGAAAAATATTTTTTTTGTGATTTCTTTGTTGGTCTAATAATATATATCATCTCTAAACCAAGAGTTCTACAGTTTTGCATTTCTGTTGTATGTAAGAGGTTCGTGAGGGATGGCAACATCTTAATCATTGTATAGCAATTTGGATCATTTACAAGTGAGGTAAATGTGTGAGGTTCTTATATCTTTAAAGATATTATGACAATGTTTGAAAGAGTAAAAATGTGTTAATACTGATGTTTAGGTCTCATTCCAATTTGGATAATTGCATTTCACTACCCTAAACTTCCTTGGTATGTTCAGTTGGATATGTTGTTTTTCACTTACTCACCTAAAATATTATGTACGATTGCTGTGCTTTGGTAAACACATGTCACGTTCCGCCCTTGAAATAACTGCATTCAATGATGAATAAAATTTTCCTTTTCTCTCTAACTTGCCCTAAAGGAGTGCTAGGACTAAATCATGTTTTATAAAGCACTTTGAGGTATTTGTATGAAAGATGCTACAAAAGAACAAAATGCAATACCATTGTTCTAATTGTTTACTCTGAGCAACACTGGATGCAGTAGCTTGACGAGCAAAATGAATCAGTGAGTGGAGACAGTTTACTCCTGACTGTGGTCTCTTGTCCTTGGCTGCAGTAAATTAAGCATGTGTGGTTATTAGGTGATTGAATAAGAGTCTGGAAAGAGTCATTTGCAAATGTTTGCACAAAACTGAAGTCTGGAGAAAAGAGGCAGTTCTGGGTCATGGATGTACATACTTTGGTTATAGATTACACGCTGTCAGGAGTTTTAAAAATGAATCTGTAGTTTTTATTGATGATTCAGCTGTACACAAAACCTTTTTAATTATAATCTTGCAGGGAAAATAGCGTAATTACACAAATCCCTGAAGACAAATGAAATATTAGTTATAGCTACTAAAGCACTGTTTTGTTAACCCGATTTGGCATCTAGATTTTAACCTTTTTTGTATAACACATGCCTCCCCTCTCCATTCATGTTACAACATTTTCCCTTTCTTTAAAAGGAAAAAGAATATCAAAGGAAGAAAAGAATGAATTCATGCCCATTTGTGACTTTGTTTTTAAATGTGTGTTTTACATTAGAATTTGAGGTATTTTTTGATCCTGAAAGACTTAGGATACTGATGATTGTAGACTCTGAAATTATCTCACGAGAGCAAACTTGAAAGCTGAACAACAGAATGAAAGGAATTTTGGTTACTGTTTGGTTAACTAACTAACTAATGGTAATTAACTAACGCTTTGGAAAGAGGATCGTTTTGTTTAAGATTCAACATCTCTGCCCCTTTAATTATACGACTAGAAGACAGAGTACATATTCTCTGGGAATAGACATCACAGCTATAATAAGTCCTCCAGCAAAACTGAAAATAGCCAGATTTGTTGCTTGTATTTTTTAATCATAGAAATAAATTAAAGGAAACCCTAAACAGACCTTAAAAAAAAACTTGGTGTCAACCTAACACACCCTACAACATTTTAAAAAAATCTCATATAGAATTTATTTACACTGTTCTCCCCATTATCCAGCTAGAAGAAATATTTTGATTGCTATATAGCTTTATTTTTCCAACATTTGATTTTTCATTTTGTAAAGCTGAAGGAAGTTAGCAGCCATTCACTACATGTATGCATAGGCTTCTGAACCAGTCAAACTTAACAAGTGCTGTTCCTTGTTTAAATGCTGAAATTACATTGTTTTCCCTTTGGATCCAAGTAGCCTGTGTGCTAGTAAGACCCCTTCTCAAATCCTCTGCCGTTTCAGAATCATATGGAAGAGTTGTCATCAATGGCTGCAGAAAGTCATAATAGCAATCAAACTATCTGGTTTGGCCATTACCCAACTTCAACAATCATCTCCCCATCCCCAGGAATAAGAACACTAATGAGGTGAGATGTCTCTTCTTTTCCTGCATATTGCAGAATTAAATTCTCCTTGTCTTCATATAAGTGCTTATCAGTTTGCAGCTATCCTAAGGTGTTATTTCCTTCCCCATAAAGTGTAAGAGTACTATTAATTCATTATGATATTATTTTTCCAGTTCTGCTACAGCCTATTTATGTGGGCACCTCCATACATTGGGTGGGCTGATGCCAGTCCTACATAGTCGGCATTCTCATGGTACTCTGGAACTGGAGCTGGGAGACTGGATGAATAATAGGAGGCAAGTAAACCTCACAATGAAAACCTGGTAATATCTGTATATTTAATTTAAGTGGTGACTCTTTTTCATCCCATGTGGAGAGATCAATAGAAGTGTTAGTAGCCAATGGAATGGGATTAACATTAATATTAAAAAATGTTGTTTATAATATTGGAAATTCTGCCTCCCTTGCAGTTGACATGAGTAATGAAGCCCTAAAGCAACATTTTTAATAATCTTATTTCCTTTATTCTGCATATTTAGAAACTGAGTACAGGAAATCTACATTTCTGAACAATGTGTGTTCAGTAACTGAAAATTCTGCACAATTTATAATTAAAGCATCACTGTTAGTAGTTTGAATTGTCATTGCTTTGTACCAGGTCTATTATGTTCACATGGTTTAGAAATAAAAATAGTCTAACTGGGAAATGTAATCTCAGTAGCACACTGAACAGTGTCAGATGTTGCAAAGAATCAGTGTAATCTAGTATGTTAGTATACTGATCTTTAATCTGCTCAATTTTGCTGAAGCTGTATGTGTTTGTACAGAAGTTTAGTGCAGTAGGGTCTTGGGCCATCACTGGTGTACTGGAGCACCATTTCAAGTATTTAGGCATTATAGTAGTATAAATATTAGGGCTGTGTGAAACGGCACCGTTCCGTTTTGCCTTGAGTTTTAAGGTTTTGACGGAACAGCATTTTGTATCGAATTTCATTTTGATTTGAAACAGCTGTTCCATTTTGCTTCGTCAAAACAGTAAGGCTGTTTCGACTCTGTTTTGATGTTTTGCTAGATTGGCCAGGGACAGGGAGTCAGCCCAGCTGGACTGACTTCGCATCTCCAGCACTATGGTTGAAATATTTCAACTAGCCATGTTTTGTTTCAAGGCTGTTTTGACGCCCTTTCTTTCATTTAGATTTTGCTGTTTCAACCTCAAAATGAGTCGAAACAGTGTCAAAATGGAACGGCCGGCAAAATTTCGCACGGCCCTAATAAATAGTAATTGAATTATTCATACATAAAATGGTACATCTCTATTTCAGGTGCAAAATTTAATTCAGCCTTGACAATGGAACTCTGGTAGTTGCTTCTATAATTGGAACTGAAATGAATTTTAAAGTCTTAGTTTAATTCCTAGCAACCAGAGATAAAAGCTGTTTTAGTTGCTACTCATTTTACAAAAATAAAATCAAATTAGTTTGTATGAATCCTCTGTACATACAGTGCTTCATGCTAACAGTGTTGTCTTCTTTTAATATCAGGTACCGGCTTCTTGCATTTGATCATGACCTTCTTAGCTTTGTAGATCTGCACTTTGAGGAATGGCCTGCAGTTCTCATCACCAATCCCAAGTCATTACTTTATAGCAGCCCTGCTCATGAACCATTAACAAAAATCCTTCACTCCACCCACATCAGGTACTCTGGAGTCTCTTAAAACTTTCATAGCTTCTTTAATAGTTGTTTGGTTCTCTATGATTAAATCAAGTTATATGTCTCTAAATATAACCATAACTATTCATAGTTTCATAGATATAGGGTTGGAAGGAACCTTGCAGATCTCCCTGCCCTGGGCAGGAGAGAAAACTGGGCTCAAATGATCCCAGCTAGGGGTCATCAAGCCTCCTCTTAAAGACCCCCAAGGTAGGAGCCCCAGCACTACTTCCCTTGGAAGTTGCCTCTAGATCCTAGCTGCCCTGACTGTGAAGTAGCGCCTCCTGATGTCTAGTCTGAACCTACTCTCTAACAACTTATAGCCGTTATTCCTTGTTACTCCAGGAGGAGTTCAGCAGAACAAGGTCTCTCCCATTCCCTGCTGGTCCCCCCAGTAAGTTTATAGGCGGCTACCAGGTCCCCTCTCAGCCTTCTCTTGTGAAGGCTGAATGGGGTAAGGTCCTGTAGCCTCTCCTCGTAGGGTCTGCCCTGCTGTCCCCAGATCATGCAGGTGGCCCTCCTTTGGACCCTCTCAAGGCTGTCCACATCCCTCCTGAAGTGCAGTGCCCAGAACTGGATGCAGTACTCCAACTGTGGCCTGACCAGTGTCGCATAGAGGGGGAGTATCACCTCCTTGGCCCTGCTTGTGATGCATCTGTGGATACATGACCAGGTGCGGTTAGCCCTACTGACTGTGTCCTCACATTGGCAACCCATGTTCATCTTGGAATCAATAATGGCTCCAAGATCTCTTTCTGCCACTGTGCTTTCGAAAAGAGAGTTCCCCAACCTGTAGGTATGCTGCTGGTTCTTACTGCCCAAGTGCAGCACCCTACCCTTGTTGGTATTGAATCCCATCCTATTCTCATTCGCCCACCCCTGTAACCTGTCCAGGTCCACCTGTATCTTGTCCCTCCCTTCTGGCATGCCCACCTCACCCCAAATCTTGGTGTTGTCTACAAATTTAAACAGGGTGCTTTTCACCCCCTCGTCCAAGTCGCTAATAAATTGAACAGTATAGGCCCAAAGACTAAGCCCTGGGGGACTCTACTGCTCACATCCCTCCAGGTCAAATATGACCCGTCCACCACCACTCTCTGGGTGTGGCCCCTCAGCCAACTTGCTATCCATCTGACTATGTAGGCATCAATGCCACAGTTGCCTAGCTTTTTAATGAGAATGGGGTGGGAGACGGTGTCAAAGGCCTTCCTAAAGTCCAGCAAGACTACATCCACCTTGACATCTGCTTCCAATGATTTTGTGACCTGATCGTAGAAGGCAATCAGGTTGGTTTGACAGGACCTGCCTCTAATGAAACCATGCTCGTTGCCCTTGAGCATCATCCCTGCTGCTGGCCCTTCACAGATGTGCTCCTTGATAATCTTCTCAAAGAACTTCCCCAGGATTGAAGTAAGACTAACAGGCCTAT